TGCAATCCAAACAAAAAGATAATGAAGTGCAAAAATCTCCTCATTGAAAGATTATTACAAAATTAGATTTGTAATTTGGTTGCCACTAATCATATTTATGCCTCATAAACATCCCACATGATCTTATTTATACATGTAAATTCATTCATAATTTTTTTTCCCAACTCTTTTAATGTTTTGATAATTTATTTATTTATTTTTTATTTTTTTAACAAATTATCTGAAATCATAAAGAAAAATGGACTATTACATATAAACTTATAATTGCATTTATATATATAATTATTCAAAACAAAAACAAAACAGTTTTTACCAAACAAGGTATCCTGTTATTGATTCAGAATTTTTTATAACAAAACTAACTTCCTAAACATGTTTTGTTTTCAGATTCCTTAAAACGCATGACATTATCAAACGCGTTTTCATGTTTTTGATATACAATAATCAAAAACAAAACAGTCGTTACCAAACATGGTTCTGATTTCTACTAAAAACACACCAATACTAAAACGGTTGTTTTCACATCATACCAAACCATAACATATAGCGTTATCACGATCCAAACGAGCCCTAAACTTGTGGTTTTGGGGGTGATAGTGTTACCAATTGGTGGGGTGTGGATTGAATAATATTCAGTTTCAACCTGACCTGTCTAGCCCGCTTAAAAAATGGGTGGTATTGTAGTGGGTATTAAAATTTGTCATGTAATCTAATTTAAGTATAAAATATAAATATAATAAATAAAAAATAGCATAATTGAGGATTAAATCTATTAAAATGTGAAAAATCGAGATAATATAATTACAAAAAAAATTTACAAATATAATATTTATTAAATTTATATTGAAATAACAAAATATTCGTGATAATTAAATTAAAATAGGTTAATGAGATTAAACTAACACGATTAATTAAACTTGTCTAATCGGATTGAATTTCAAAATATTAATATAACATGATTAATTAAACAATTTAAAGAGAATAATAATATAATTAAGATCAATTGAAACCTAGTAGTTTTGTATCTGTGTCAAATTTTGTTACTCTTCATGTCTAAGAGCGAGAATTGATAAATAGTCTTTTTGGCATCTACAAGCCATATGTGAAGACTAAAGAGTTTGGCTTCAAAAGTCTTAAAAGGATTATGGAGTGTTGTATAAATTTGTATATATATTTTCTATGAAAAGTTATAAATTTGTAGACTATGGAAGATTCTAGAGGATTCGAATGTTGGTGAGGGTTTCAAATGTAATTATCAATATGATACCTGAGAGTTCTTTAAAATAAAATTTTAATTGTAAACATTATTTTAACTAACATTAAACGAAAAGGCAAAATATCCTGAAGTGAACAAATCAATCATCTATATTCAAAATTTAGCAACTTACAACTTAGCTGTGACCTCCGGCATCCCTTATAAATTTTTTTTTTTGTTAAATAAAAATAAAAATGAAATATCGAAAACACCCTCATTTATTATATTTATATCATTTCCCCAAATTGACTAAGTTTGACTTCATATGTATGTGTATATATATTTTCTCATCTCTCATGTATGTGTTGTTTGTATTTTAGTTTGCTTGTGATGCAATGGCAAGAACTAGTATTTATTTATTTATTATTATTATTTTTTAGAGTTATATCAGTTATGGTAGTGTGGGTTGCTGTTAAGAACAACTTCTATTTTTAATTAATGTAGTTCTTGGTTTTGTTGCATTTGTTTGGTTGAGTAGTAAAGTTTTTTTTTTTTTTTTTTTTTTTAAATCTTAGTGCTCGAGCTGTTACTTATTAAAAAAAATAAAAAAAAAAAGAAAAAAAACTTAGTGTTGCAATTTTGGTACAACTTGATTCTTATTTTTGAACTTCATTATTTTTTGAAAAAACGATACATAATTAGTACATGTTTCCTAGTGATCAACGTAGTATTGCCTAGTGATCATTATTGATTTTATTAGTACATTGGAGTTTTCGAGATGACGATCCATGTAAAAAAAATACTAATAATAACATACATGTAACAAGTTAGTGTTACATAACTTGTTAAAAAAAAAAAAAAAAAAAATTGTATTTAAGTATAAATAAAAAGTTTCTCATTTAATGACCGTATAATCAAATTCAAAGCTTATATCTTCTGTACAACAAAAAAAAAATCTTTCATTAAAAACCTTTCGTGAATATATTAACTATTTGTTGTGGAAACAAATTGGAAACTTGCTGTTGGAGAGTAAGAGCGTAGTGCAAATAAGAAGAGGAAGAAATGGGTTTACAATCAAACAACTGGAAGAGTTTTTATTTTTATTTTTTTTATAGGCAAAGGGGTATAAATTGGAAAGCGGCCGGAGGTCACATCCAGGAGATAAGTTGCTAAGTTTTGAAATTAGAGGGATTGATTTGCTCACTTTTATATTTCAAGGATTATTTAGCTCTTTTGTAAAACTTTGGGAGTTTTTTTTATTATTATTATCATTATTATTATTATTATTATTTTCAATTTGGCCATGTTCTATTTTCTTTAGTATTTTGTTTCATATTTCAAATTTAAAGAGTAAAATGTCGATTATTTTATCTTTTTCATAAGTATTTAAGAGACAACATAACTTTATCCAATTTTAACAAAAAAAACATAACTTTATCCAACCCAGTCCAATATGTGAAGAAGCCAGGGATGCATGCCCATAATTATTTTTTGTTTCTGTTTTTTTTTTTTTTTTATTATTACTATTATTTTTTTAATTATTTTATAATAGAATTGGATTATAAATTCCCAAGTTTGGATTTGGACAGAGGCTTGCACAACTTAAACCCAACGTAAACAAACTTATTATATAGTTGTAATTATTAAAATATTGGTAACAGTAATAACCCAAGCTAATAAATAAAAAAGCCTAGATTGATCTCCCAATGGGGCCTTCTTGGACCTTTCAATATTTATTTGGTTGAAATTGCGCCAAACAATATCAAATCAAGTAGATGAACAGGGAGACAAGTCTTCAAAAATGTAGTCAACTTCCATGGACGACGATGAGTTTAAACATTCAAAAATGCAAGACGAGACTTTTCAGCTCAATACGGACATGTTACAATTGCATTTGATTTGGTAAAGTCACAACAAATAAATGCAATGTCCTTGGACCATGATCAAAGGTGTAGTTGGGATGGAGTCACTCTCATCTGTCTTCGGATTCCTAGCTAATGATTTGGACCTAACCCTAGAAGTGAAAAAAAAAAAAATAAAATAAATAACTCATAATCCCTATAAACACAAAACATACCATAAATTTTATTTTTCCAAAATTGTCTCTGTGAAATTTTGTCATAATTGTTGTGATTATGGCTGGAGGCAAGAATGTTAGGGGTTAATAGTTAGAGGAGAGGAGGAGAGTGCAAAGTTCGAATACGAACTTCCCAACCACTTAAACAACAGAATACTTGCTTGGTCGTTCTAGATTAAGCAAGTATGATTTAACATGTTATGCACTATGTTTGGCAATGGAAAAGAATAGGGGGGGAGGAGGAGGGAAAAGGAGAAGTTACCATCAATTCAAAAATGGCCTAAGGCACAAAATCTGGCAGTGTCTGTACCCTGGCCAAGGTTTAGATTGGTATTGAGAGATAGAGGGAGGGGTTAGCTTTTTTTTTTTAGGTAAAAGGGAGGGGTTAGCTTTGTTATTTATTTATTGACAAAAAAAATAATAAAAAACTCTCACAGTGCACTTTAGAAGACTGTATAACCCTCAATTTTAAAAGGTGAAGAAATTAAAATTATAGAAAAATAGAGATGAGTTAGTAATGAATAAACTAAATAGTTCCATTTAGACATCAAACAAGAACTTCCAGTTACACTTAAAAAATGCGATTTTGGAACCTAAAGTATAAAATTTTGGGCAGGCTAGCAATGCAAAGTTAATAAGGGGTATTGATTGTTGAGTTGTTTTCAATAATAAATAAATAAAATAAAATAAAAAAACTATCTTAGAGTGCTTGCTTGAACATTTGGTGGTTCAAAGGGGCCATTTAAGATTGGACCATCAGTTTCCATCAACATCAAAGTAGTAGGATATACTATGAGTATGAGTATGATCAACGGTAGTTTATCTACGTGATCAATTCTATAAAATTTGAAAGAGTTCGAGGTCAGTTAACTTATATATATATATATGTATGTATAGATGGACTATAGTTAATCGGGTTATGTAGATCTTTGCCTCCCAACTAAATTTTCGGACACCGAGCAAGTAAACATAATTGATTTGAATTGCTTCATTTAAAAATATATTGGTCAAATTAATAAAATTGCTTCTCCTAGCATCATCGCAACTAATTGATGTTGTCATAAGAAGTAAATAGTTGGGCGGTGGTGTCTTCGGTCACCATTTTTATTAGCAGTAAAGAATTTTCTTATTCAGATCGAGATGGTCAAAAATATCAATTCAGCAAACTAGTATTATTTCTATGGTCAATCAACATGGAAATGTAGTGGAAATAAAGTTCACTCTCATTCTTTATATACATATATATATATATATATATTTTGCACACTATTTATTTATTAATTCACTAAGTAATTTGAATTCATTCATCCAATGAGTAGTGCCGGAAAAAAAATAGAGAAAATATTCACTACACGTCATGGCCCCAAACTTGGTCCTATTCATGGTCAAGATGTCAGCACCAAGTGGTCATCACGCATGGGTCAAAGGTTCGACCCCAAATTAACCCGCCCATAGCATAACAATTTAGTATTTTATTTGTTTGAACAAATTAATAAACTCATTTTTTCCACAATAATTTTTTCAATAGAGCTTAGAAGAAGGTACACACAATATTCTTCACCAACATTTATGGTCGTATCTTCAAACCTAGGAAAATTCTTCTTCAAAAAGGGCTAGGTCTTCTCGTAGACTCAAAAAGTGAATTAGATGGTTATATAGGAAGACCATGACCAAGTCATATAATTTAGCCCTTAATTGCTTCTACATACCGTGTTCAAAATATACAAAAAACCTTGGAAAAGCAATTTCTACATTCTACATTCTAATTCCTCTAATAGCACCAACATAGAAGCTCACATAGATTGTCTTTTAACCTCACCATATATATATCATTACTTATTCAAATCAAATTTAAAGATCACAAAGTCACAAACCTAAGCAAAAAAACACCCAAAAACCATGGAGGAAGTCATTTCTCTAGTCTTTCAAGGGTGCAAGTTGGCTAGAGACCTTGAATCAAACCTACCCAATTTCGCCAACCAACCCAACATTCTTCTCAAGACTTGTGAAGAGATTATAACGATCTTCAGCGCCGCGAGGGACCGGTTAAACGCTCACAACTACCCATCATCATCATCAACAAGCCACATGATGATGTTTCGCGGCGCGGGGCAGGAGTCACATGAGATTGGTGCGGGGATGCAAGAATGGCTGAGGTACAGTTGCACACAAGCAATGGAGATGCTGCATGCACAGATTTTGGGCGGGAATAGTGGAGTAGAACAGCGAGGAGGTCCGGGGCCGGGGTTGGAGTTTCAGGTACGTGAAGTGGCCGGAAGGGATGGGGGAGGTGGTATGCAATTGAGAGGAAGTGGTGGTGAGGTTCAGGCACCGCCAATACTGGGCGTGTCTGAATCCGGCAGAGGTTCTTCGTCGCAGCAACGCACACGAAGAAGGTGAGAAACTTCCCAAACTTGGAAAATGTTTGTTCTTATTAGTGTGAATTCTTGAACATTATATATATATATATATATATATATATATATATATATATATATACACTTTTTGTGTGTGAAAAGTACATCTGATTTATATATATGAACCTAAAAGGAAAAGGGTATGTGCGTTACATACAAATTTCAAAACTTCATTTTCAGTAGGTCTCGATCATTCAAGTTATTCTCTGATCAGTTTGTTCCACATTTCCATTTCTTTGCATGTGTATTATGTTCACATGTATATCAACTTCATATTATATCGTGTTTTTTAATTTTTATAAAACCAATCACATTTTGTTCTATTGTGTTCTTTAATATATATACTTTTTTTTTTCTTTTTTCTTTTTTCGTTTTAAGGTAAATTGTATAGAAGAAAGAAAAGTAAATTTAAGCAAGAACGGATCTGACACTCTATATATGATAAAAGAAGTATTCAAACCTTAAAAAGAAGAAGAAGAAGAAGTATTCAAATTAAGAATAGTGTTTGAAAAACAGTTGAAGATTTCTTAAGCTGTTTCTTGGAAAAGCGACCACTTAATTTCTTATAGTCAAAAGTTTTTACTTAATACTAATAATTAATTAACTAGTTTAATTTGTTATCAATACCTAAAATTGCTCTTGTGACCAGAAATATACGTTGAAATGTAACTTTTGTGCCTTTTCGGAAAATGCATGGGGAGTTTCCTATATTAGAGCGAACGTCTAATTGGGTGTAAATAAGGTTTGGAAGTCATGTAACATTCTCTTCATTTAAAAATAAATAAAATCAAAGATTTAATCAAATTAATTTCATACAATGCAAACTCTGAAATATTGTCTAAATTAATACTACAATCCCATGAAATGTGGGTGAACCAGAAGAGAATCATAATTAATGTTCTGCAAATGGCATGCTATATAAGGCTTTCTCTATGAACCAAAAATTTGTGATTGATACCTTATCCCAAAAATTAAAAAAAAAAAAAAAAATTTGATTGATAAAATAATTAAACATTTTCTCCCAAATTCCACCTCAAATGACGTGAAAAAACTCTTTCCGAACTGTAATTAGTATTGTACATTGTTGGTGCTTTGTTTCACAATGATTAAGAATTTATTCGACCGGCCATTTTCGTATAACCTAGAATTCTGGGTAATTTTATGTTCATATATATAACACTCTTTGAAATGTTTTGTGTAGAAATGATGAGGTAGACAGATGGACGGAAATGGTATCGGCGCCTCAGGTAGGAAATATTGAGATTCCACCCGACGACCATTATACTTGGAGGAAATATGGCCAGAAGGAGATTCTTGGGTCAAGATTCCCAAGGTATTTAAACTAATGTCGCGCTTAGGAACACTTGAGATGATTAGGTTCGGGATTGGAGCATTCCAAATCCAAACTGCCGATTCGGTACTCCCAAACATAGTATAATGATAATGATTTAGAGTTTGAAAGTCGAACAAGTACAATTATTTTATGTGAGGGGGGTCGTTAGTGTCATCATGATATTATTAATGTCCTTAACATTGTGATGACATTAGCCCATACTCAAAAAAAATTAATCATGTTTAAACGTCCAACTCCCTATTATTACTTTTAAACTAATAAGTTTAGTTTTCTTAAATTTCTTCTATATTAAATACATTGAACTAGGAGACCAGAGACCAAGAGATATCATTTTGAAAAGCGACCTAAAATCTAAGTCTGTCAATCATGACCAACAGACCAAGTCTGTTAAATTTGAAATAGTCACAGCATGAAGGTTTTTGAATTGGTCACAACATTAGATATGTGATCAGTGCATAAATTAACATGGTACTTAATTTAGTCCATTGTGATATTATTAATAAGTACATGATTCATATAGTCCATTGTGTTATTATATATTAAGCATGTACTATAGTTCATGAGTAACAAACATGTACATGTGAAAATGAAAATATTGTTGATGTTGTGGTGATGATCATATGGTCACATTTCTTTTCAGGAGTTACTACAGATGCACACACCAAAAACTATACCAGTGCCCGGCCAAGAAGCAAGTCCAGAGGCTGGACGTTGATCCCTCCACATTCGAAGTGACCTATCGCGGCAACCACACGTGCCACATGTCATCCACAGCTCCGTCAATACCTCCTCATCCGCCGCCATCTCTAGGGCTAACACAAGAGATGATGATCCAAAGTACCACCGCTGCCCAGCCCTCACCGCCATCTACTTCAATCCCACTTGCAAGATGGCTCTCCATGGACATCAAACCAACAGGAGAAAACACACCAATGCAATTATATGGAGACCACTTTGGGCCTAGTGGTGTAGGGACCAGCAGTGGCATGGTTGGCAGCGGTAGCGGTGCAGGTCCCTCCACAGTCCGGTTCGGCGTCGATTTTCAGCCGGTGGCAGATATGGCTGATGTAATGTTTAATTCTGGTAGTAGCAGCAGCAATAGCATGGACCACATATTCTCTTCCATGGAAGAAAAATGGGACACAACAGATAAGAAAAACTGAATGCTCAACTGGTATGGTTGAATTAAAGCTATGTTTAGGAGTATCGAAATTTGAACTAAATTTTCTGAGATTTCAATTTATAAATTTAGTACTCTCGAACGCAACATAACTGAATTCATTAGTATGTTTTTCACTTTACTAGAAAGCCGTTCATTATTCTGTACCTTTTAATTAAATCTGTGACTTCTTGAGAGAGTATTTAGGCCTTTTCCTGTGGCTCTATCTGTTGGGAAACGTACAAGTTTTAAATTTTTTTTGAGAGATTTTGATTCATAGATCTTGATTCATCACATAGAGACAAGTTTTATGCAAAAATAAAATATAATGTATCATTTAAGTAACAGATTAAATACTTACATCAAAGGTTTGAGTAAACCTTTAAATCTTTCCTCTAAAATGAATATTCTCACTTATTGTAGATCTCTTAACAAGATGCATTCTCCTTGAATCTCTATCTTCTTGGTAATTGTTTTGCCTTTAGGAATCACTCGTAAGCCTCCATGAATGACCTTGGAAAACTAGGTTTGTGGGAGCCTCCATTAGATGAGAACATAAACCCTAATTTTCTAGAAAGAGAAAATATATTCCTTTTTCCTTCTACTAAAAATCACACAAAAAATATACAGAGACCATGTATATTTATAGGCAACAAAAAGATAAAGAAAATGAAACAACAAATCCTTCTGAATCTCTAATTCACATATCTCAAATCTAATATGATCCCAATATCAAGTTGGGTTATGAGTGAGAATCCATTGTGCTTATTATTTTATTGGCTACAATGAATTAATAATTGGCCCTGTCCATGGACCCAATTCAATTAATTCATAAATTAATTTCTACTCAATTAAAAGAAATTAATTGAACTCCAATTAAATAATAAATAACCTCTAAGTCAATATCGCACTTTGACCCCTCTATGCATAATTAGTTATCGGATAAATAAAACCATCAATCCGACTACTTAATTAATATATTTATTTTGGTACCATTGATTATTTCTGACTCGATCACAATAAAACATTTGTTTGACAAAAATAATAATTTAAATAAATAAATATATAATAAATCATTTTGTTTAAAAACATACGAAGGCCTTCGAATTTACTTTGTGATCAACCATAATCAATACAAAATAAATACAAGTAGTAATGATGCAAATATTGAAAATATAATTCTCTAACTATTAATTATATAACTACTCAAAGTGTCGGTCTAAGGATCCCGAAGAATCCGCCGAACAAATCAAAGTAATTATTAATTAATAAAAGAGTCTATACTTTTCTCATGCTTAAGAGTCAAATGCCATGACGGTGATAGGGAACAATTGTATACGACGGCTCTCGCAATATATCTCAACCTAATGTGGATCCAGTTTAAGTCTTAATTAATTATAATTCCATCCATAATTACCGACTATGAATAATTTATGATTACTATTTATATTCATGTATTGATCGCCATCACATACATATATAAATATCTCTTGTAATCAAGAGGATACTATCAATTCTATAATAAATCGAAACATAATACATTGAATTCACTAATTGTACAAAACATAAATATTTTAGAAATGTTAGGAACATATGTCACTTTAATCTAAACAGGAATTTGCTATGTCAGGGCATATAAATCCCAACACTATCTACAGTAACTAGTAGACAGTACTACTAATACTCGAATTGTAATAAGTTTTGTTTTTTCTTTCTTATATATTTAACTTTTGTAAAAATTTTGTATTAAGTACTCCAATTTTCATTACTAAGTGTTTTCATTTTTGCACACATGAATAGAAACAAGTTATTTACAAGTTAATCCACTCGTGTCAAGGTTTATACAATATTAGGGTAAATTACAACTAACTACCTAGTTAGAATTTATTACACTAACAATTTCTGTGTTTTGATTAATTATAGTTTTCACTCTTTTAGTTACATGTGTGTAACAAAACGACCCTACCGTCATTATCACACACTTATATCCAATGCTGCTTGTGTAAAAAGTGTTTTTCCAACAACAATTTGAATGGCATATTTGTCATTTAAAACTAAAAAACTTGTCACATCAGCGTTAATCAAAACTGGCCGTTAGTGAAACTAACATGGGTTGGTTTGTTATACACATGTAACTAAAAAAGATGTAATTATAATTATCCAAAATATAGGAGAAGTAAGTGTGATAAATCCCAACTAGACAGAAAGTAAGGCCTAATTATGTATGCAATAATGAAATGAATGGGAATCAAATGAAGCTGGGAATGGAATGGAATGGTTATACTCATGCTCTTGTTTAGTTGCAAATGTGAAATAATATTAGAATGGATTGATAATAACAATTCTAAGTGATGGTGGCGGCGGCGGCGGATGCGGAAGGCTATGGCGATATGCAGTAGTGGTGGTGGTGGAGGCGGAAGGCTATGGCGATATGCAGTGGTGGTGGTGGTGGATGGCGGTGGCGGTGGCGGTAACGGTGGCTAAGAATTTCAGTCTTTGAAATGAATTTTCATTCCATCCGTTTAGATAAGAAAATGATCATTTTCATTCTAAATGTACGTTATACCAAATAAGGAAATGATTAGAATGAAATGTAGATTCCATTTTATTCATGTGTACCAAAATAGGCCTTAAGTGTAATTTATCTTACAATTTAATATTGCATGCTTGTACCGTTGGAATTATAAAGTAGTTGAGCCTAATTTGAGTAGAGAGCTCAGTCTGAACCGATATGAATCAATTACTTAAGAGGCACTAGGGTTATGCTGCCATCAATGCAGGTTTGAAATTTGATATTGAAAAAATAAGATCAATATATAACCACTAGACATTCTGATCTCCGACTGGTCTAATTAATTGGACATCAAATGTACAACCAAATCTCGTTGCATTCTGCTATTATTGAAGGTAACCCTAGAAAATGACGTGGATGTGACTGAGCTAGCTATATATATCTTATGGATCGTTGTATCGATCAGTTTGTAATCATTTTTTAAATGTTCAATACTTTTACACACTCATGAACCGACCAATTCAATTAATTTATACCGATATTCGTCCGAATTCGTTATACCACGACCGTAACTGCCAATCATGATATACTCCACCACAATCAGTGTATACATACATACATACATACATATATATATATATATATATATGTATATATATATTTCGCAATGCTTGATATATATTTGGTTGGCCTAGAACATAGCGTTTGTAATAAGGGTCATTTGTCCCACATCGGAATCTGATGGGAAAGTGATTTGGTATAAATGGGTGGGTATGCAGCACTACCTAATAGTTCGAGCTTTTGGGTAAATGGGCAAGCGCCCACCCGTTTCAGTTGGTATCAGAGCCAGACCCAATCCTTGATCCGGTATCACGCTAAGTACCAGGCCCGGAAGGTGTCCGGATTAACATCTCGGGTAGGCAGGGTGGCCCGAACCGCAACGAGGGCGTTGCGAATTTGGGTGGGGGAGAATATAATAAGGGTCATTTGTCCCACATCAGAATCGGATGAGAAAGTGATTGGGTATAAATAGATGAGTATGCATATAATAAGGGTCATTTGTCCCACATCAGAATCGGATGAGAAAGTGATTGGGTATAAATAGATGAGTATGCAGCACTACTCAATAATTTAAATTTTTGAACAAATGGACAAACGCACACCCGTTTCAACGTTCCACTCCCACCACAATAAAACAATGCACATAAAGTTCCAACGCTATAATTGTGTGAAAGAAATTGTTGACAACATTGAAAGGTGCATGCATGTCAGTATTGAATGTGTCGAAAGTCCGAACAAATGACAACTCGGAGGATACCAACCGTAATGAAAAAGTTGAGAGTAACGGCACTGCTTCACTTCCCTAGTAACTAATGACTGTTAATTAATCATCTTATAGTACATATCAATAATTGACCACCCAAACAGTCCTCGATATCATAAAAATATTGTAAATTACTTTACTTTCTCTTTTTCATTTTCTTTGTAATTAATATATCTATATATATATGTGTTTCTACCGAATGTGATTGACTTTCAGATGATTTATTATTTTTGGAGGTCGTTTAATTAGCTAGGCTTGGGCTTTAAGGATTGGGGGGTGCTTTTCTGGGATTTATTATAAAGAAATTTCTGTTAATTCTTTAGCTTTAATTTTGGGCTGCGTTTTCTGACTGGGTGTGTGGGCCCATTTGTGTATTTTTACCCCTTTTTTTCAATACAATTTTCACTCAACAAATAACATATATATATATATATATATATATATATATATATTTTTTTTTTCAAACCCATCTATATCTTTTCTTTTTAATACAAAATCACTCTCACCCTATTTTTAATTTCTATATATAATTTTATCATTACCATCTATTGATGTAGCAATAAAATGTAATTACCAAAATAAAAATAGAAATCTTTGAAAGAAAAATAATACCAGTAATATTACTAAAATTTTGTTTTTCTTCTAATGTTCTTTGAGAGAAATATAGAAATCTTTGAAAGAAAAATAATACTCTTATATTTTACTAAAATTTTGTGTATCTTTCAATTTTGCAACAATAATATATATTAGAGCATTTTCCTAAGAAACAATATTATTTACCAACAAATATATTGTAATGTTGTCTTCTCTAGTATAATAGTACGTATGTGATTTTTTTTGTATGTACACATACTAAAATTCAAATAAATATATTTTTCTCGCATAAGTAAATTTATCAACAAATATACTGTAATGTTGCATTTTGGAATATCAAATTAATACATTGGAATTGAAATTGGAGAAATTTTTATTTAAAGTTTAAACAAAAGTTCTTTCTATTTCAATTTTAAGACCTCCCAATGTTCCTAAACTGCCTAAATAAGATTTTAAGGAACGGAGTTTGGCACAAATTCTCTTGTTGAATTTTCTAACACTTGATATATAAAACAAATGATTTCTCTTTATCCTTCCCCAAGTGAATCATCTAAGACATGATATAATTCTTTTTTGCCTGATAGAAACATAAAAAATAAAGGTGAAGTGAACTGTAAAGATATTTCTTTCAAAAAAAACATCTATAAAGAAAAAACAAAATTGTAGCAATATATAAATATAAACTGAAGAAGACGGAAGATAAGTAGTGGACCAAGAAGCTTGTATCTTCTGTTTCACTGAATGAGATAAAAGAGATGTGGTTTTGTGTATTGCCATTTCCCACTTTTTCCATTAATGGAGGTTTTTCTCTTTATGTGACAAATCAATTGTCCGAAGAATCCAAAGATGTCCTACTCTCTTTGTCATCTTCTATTTGCATTACTAATAATAATGGAGGTTTTTCTCTTCATGTGACAAATCAATTGTCCGAAGAATCCAAAGATGTTCTACTCTCTGTCATCTTCTATTTGCATTACTAATAATAAACCATTAAAAATATAGTTCATAGTCTGCAGTGGAGGCTTAGTCACAAAGAACATTCAAGGGAATTCGAAACCTAAATCTTAGACTTGCAAAGCACTAAAGTCTAACAAGTCAACCACCGAAGCATATTCGAAGTTGATACATTATACATATGATGAAACACTAATTTGAAGCAATTTGTGTGTGTGTGTGTGTTCAATCTAACTACCCCTCTTGCACTTATACTTGAGAACAATACTCGGATAAAATGACATTTTAATTTTTAATTTTAAATGAGTGAGAGACAATATTTATTTTATTTTTATTTAAATTTTAAAAATATACCCGTGTTATCTTTGTCATTGTCTCCAATGTTGTGGAGGAAGTTCGGTTACGAAATTAAACAAAAAACACAAGAATGAGATCAAACACAAATCTAATAAGAATACACAGATTTTACTTGATTTTTCCAAAATTCAGGCTACGTCTAAGGGGTTGCAGGGATTTCACTATGATGATAAAAAATAAGAGTTCAAAATGAATATATACCCTTACACTAGGGTAACATAACAAGTATAAAAATTATCAAAATACCTTCCAAAAAGTTAAATCCGCGGAGTTGGACTTTGGTGTACAGTATGTATCGGGCTCCATACTACCCATCAAGTACCTCCCCAGAATTGTGAGTATTGTTCTTTTGTTAATCTTTCAAATATTAATCTTATATCTTTTCAAAAGTAGAAAAATTTTGAAATTATGAACATTGTTAGTTTTTGTGTGTTAGGTAAACAAATCAGTTAATTTTTTTTTTTTTTGTCCATGTTAAAATTCGAATCTCTCAACTCCCCCTTTACGAAAGAGAAAAAAATATTGAATAAAACTGAAACAATTACTTATATATCAGTTATGATTAAACGACATCATATAAATTTTTTCCTATTCATCAATGGTTAGGTGGTCCTTATGGTACTCAATGGTTTGGTGGTCCTTCTAGTATTTTGATAATAATTGAGTTCATGATTTAGATAATTTGCACTTTGCATAATCAAACAACACCCATTCCCATCCACTATTGTTCACAATTTCTATTTTTGCTCATTAAATTAAATGAATAATTTCAATATTCTTTTCTTTTTCTCTTACATGTAAAAAGTTTTGTGTCCCCTTGGGTAGGCAGCTGGATGGCACCGCCAACGTGAGAGACATTGAATTAGGACACCCAAACTGTTTAAGCATCACATTGTCACAAATGAACTGTCCTAAGACTTTTATTTGTACTTCACAATAATTATGAGTTATTAAATAATAAAATGAAGAAAGTTTCGAAATTTGAAAGGCTTCGTAAAGGAAGTCCGGATCCTTTAGCTTTTTAACATAATTAAATCTATTTTTAACAAGTTAAATTTATTTATTTCAAACATTATTTAATAACCTAGTTAATTGAGGGTTCAACTATTCGAATGAGTGTATTCCTGTTCAACACCCCCTCCTTCCAGAATATATATATACATATTGATTGTATTTTATCCCCCAAAAAAGGTTTAAATTTTGAAATATAATTGTATTTTATCCCAATAAAAACAAAAAGTTCTATTTGAAGTAACATTAATTTATCCAAACAAGTGTGTATGTATATATTTTAAATAAAACAAATAATGACTTTATTGACACGGAGCACAGTGAATGAACCAAAAAAAAAAAAAAAACACTGTACTCATAGTACATCCACATGTCTAGTCGGACAGAGCACAACATTTAATAATAGAAATAGAAATAATAAAAATTGTGTCTTAGTGGAGGCAGCTGCTGGAAAGTAGTACAATAGAGATAAATGAGAGACATCGAATTTGGACATGAGTCCTAGATGAGTTGTTACTCTTACTCAGTAACCCGTGCAACACTTCTATTTATGTATTTACCTAATATATATATATATATATATATTTATATATGTATATACCTGTATGAGCAGTGACATAATATACTCTACACCTTGAATTAGAACAATGAGTCTGACCGACCAAGACATGGATCCACCGGTGGTTTTATACAGTGTTGGACGACATCTAATTGCTCACCCGTGTTTGTCAAATGTCGTACCACGTAGAGTTAGAAATGTTGTACCACGTAGACGGACAAAAAAATTACATTAGAGGGACAATAAATATGAGTAAATTATTAAAAATAGAAATTCAAGGAGGACTACATCCTTGTCCATGGACCAGTTATGACATATAAATTAAGTAAAATAATTTTTGGAGTCACTCGAGAGAGGTTGAAAGAAAGGACTATTATATTTTTTTGTTTGACTTTTCAATTGTTTGATTGATCTTAAATAGTAATATAGTTCACATAATAATTAAGTTTGAAATATGAAAGAAGTTGTTGTCTAGATGCAACGTTTAAATTATTAAATTTTGACCAACCCAAATCATTTTAAATCCATCCATTCAATTCATGGAGCTAAAACTTTTGCACAACAAATCCATTTTTTCTCGAAGACTGGAAGAATATACATGCGTGTACAAAGTGTCAAATTGTTACAATGAGTTATTTGTCCCCCATCGAATTTAGATGGAAAAGTGATTAGATATAAATGGGAGATGTAGATTTGAACTTTTGAGTAAATGAACAAGTGTCCACCCGTTACAATTCGTATTAGAGCCAAACCCATTTTTTTATCAAGTGCCAGACCAAGCGTCTGGCCCGGAGGCATTCGGGTGAGCATCCCGAGTAGGCAGGGTGGCATTCGGGTGAGCATCCCGAGTAGGCAGGGTGGCCCGAGCTGTAACGAGGGCATTGCGAGTTTGGGTGGAGAAGAATATTACAAGGTATCATTTGTCCCATATCGAATTCAGATGAAAAAGTGATTGAATATAAATGAGTGGGTATTTAACACTATTCAATAATTTAAATTTTTGAGTAAATGAATAAGTGCTGCGGGTATACAAACTCAGTGAATATATAATTGTCATCAAGGGTCAGATATGTATGTGTGTGTGTATATAGCTATCATTTCAAGAAAATTATGTTGTAGAATTTCTATCCATGTAGTACCCTTTTTCCCACCATTCAGGATATATATATATATATATATATGGATTGTGGCAAAAACCAACATTGGATCAATAATGATAAACAAGCATTTTCTTTCGAGGAAAGTAGGCGAGAGACACAATTACAGTAGTACAATAATCTCACATGGCATGATAGAGAGAGCCCCTTACTTTTACTTTACAAAAGCTGAAATACTATAATAAGTTAGAACTTAATCTCATCAAATTGAAAATCAATGTCCAAATCACCAGCCCTACTCAAGAAGTCCATGTCCAAACCATAAGAACTAGTTGATGCACATGAATAAGCATTATTAGAAGTCACATCTTCCTGGCCACAAAACGATTCCAGAGGCGTTAGATCGGGCCACACCATCGAATCCAACGATGACAAATTGTCAGACAGATTGCCGCTGTGTGTCTCCTCCATAGATTCTTTTTTAATCGAGGAGGGGACGACCGATAATGGAATGGATGGATGATCTTGTTGGCCAATCGGGACCTCTGATTCAAAATTAAGGACGTACGAGTCCACTGGATCGGACTCTGAAATGAATTCGGGAGCTTTGATCACTATTTCCCTGCAGGTGTGATGACCAAAGTATGTGATTTGATACTTCTTTGGGTCCACTTCAGTTATCTGGACTTGTTTAATTGCTCGGCAACCTTGGCTGCGCTTGTGTGTACACCTAAAGTAGCACCTGCGCCAATCACAAAAAATATATAAGCTTTCCTAGCTTGAATATATATATATATATATATATATATATATATATATAGATAAATTTTAAAGCATATAATGTAATGTTATATGATCATCATGATGAGATATCAAAAGGGTTGATGCTTATTTTGATACCTATAAATAATTGCAGCTTAGACCCTCTCAATGATTGGATTTATAAAGGGTGCCTTTATTTTGTTTATTGCACTTTTCTTGCAGTTTAATATGCTTTAACTTAACTCGTTTGGTTGCCGAGAAAATATAGGAAAAAGAAGTGAAAACTAGCTAGAGACCTTGGGTATTTGGCTTTGAGAATCTCCTTTTGTCCATATTTCCTCCATGCATAACCATCTTCAATTGTGGGAGAGACTATGATCCATGATTGTGAAGCCTTTCTGCAAGAAATTAATAATTTAAAAAAATTAATTCTACAACTAGGAATTAATGTACCATGTTTGCTATTATGGTTGTACTTAGGTTCCCACCCATGATTATCAAATGTCAACTAAGTAACATCTGGAAAAACTAAAAATCAATTAAACCACATCACATGTCTTAATTTATTGTTGGATATTGATATAGATATAGATATTAATATTAACTAAGTAACATTTGGAAAAACTAAAAATCAATTAAACCACTTGATATAACTTAACCAGATTTTAATTTCTGTCATGTCTTAATTTATTGTTGGATTGATATAGATATTAAATTTTTTTTTTTTTTCTTCTTTCTTTTCATCTCAAAATCTTAACTAGAACTCGGACCTAATTAAGATCCAAAGACACCGTGACAAAGCAGACCTAATTAAGATCCAAAGACACGACAAAGGCAGCCTGATCGACTTCAAGATAAATATTAGATAACAGAACAAGGCACACTGGTCAATCTAAATCTTGATTATCTTCTTAACATGAGGTTATTAAAAATAATTTTGAATAGTTAAATATAATGGATAAAATTGACATGTAATAGAAAAGTTTGAAGGAAAAATCCACTCTATTGACTGGCGGATCTGAGGGAGGTTGGGGTGTGCTCAACCCCACCTCAAAAAAAAAAAAAATTTATTATTATACCTAATTTTAACACACTCAAAAAAATAAAAATAAAAATTATTACTAATATTAGCCCACCCAAATAAATATCAGCTATTGACAATTCCTGATCCGCCTATTCAAATGGGATTAATTACCTTCTCTTGTAGCGACCTCTCTGATCTGTAGTCCCCGGCCTCTTAACACTCTCGCCGGACTCTTCAGACCTCCGGTCACCACAACAAGGAGACTCCACTTGGGTAGACGCCGGAATCTGACAAATTTCGGTTAAATCACAAGAACTGAGGACAGAGAGAGTGTCAGTGAAAGATCTCAATATTTTCACCGCAAGTTCGTCACACAGAGAGCGTCCATGGTCTCCAAAGGACTTGTGAAGTGAGATTTGGAGTTGGGTAGCACAGTCTCGGCCTTTAATTAGCTCTCTAATCACCCTTTCCCTATTGGTGCATAACTTTTCTGCCTCCATTGTGATGCTGCTTATCCAAAGTGACTATGTGTTGAGATATATAGAACGAGAAACAGACACAGAGTATATACTGTGTGTGTATATATATATATAGAGTTATATATAGAGAGAGAGAATGAAACTTTTTAGGAGGAGGTATTGATGGGATGAGCTAGGAAAGAGAGTGGCAGATCGAAGGAAACATGATAGGAAAACTCCCCCCAAAATTGTATCATATAGTGTGACGATGGTGTGATGACGTGTGATGCTGACTCGATGCATCGTTCCCACACTTTATGGCAACAGTAAATAATATTAAAATATTTTTTTTTTCTAATTGCTGGGCCCATTTTCTAGATATATATACCACCGACAAAGTTTCATATAATACAACAATTATACTTGCAAAGCCTTTTTTTTATTTTTATTTTTTATTTTTTTTTGTGGAAAGTCTTTATCATAGCCTCATCCTTGTTGTGGTACTGGTATGATTAAAGCATTCATGCCACTTGATTTATACTTGATGCTTGGCAATCGTTTGTTGTTTTTGCCTTTTTATTTTTATATAAATAAAAATAAGAGGCGATATTTACACTTTATTTTTCTTCAATTATATTATATTTATTTTTTTTTTTAAAGAAAATGATAAGAAAGTCTTTGAATTCATTAATATATAATTCTTTAATTTATAATGTCATAACTACTCTTTATATAACTTTAATTTTTTTTTTTTTTTTTACCTTCTTTACTTTTTTTACTTTTTTTTTTTTTTTTTTTCCTTTCTTTTTATTTTTCCGGAGGTCCTCTCAAAGAAGATAATTTATTCTATACTAATAATTTTATTTTTGACAGTCAAAAGGGACAATTTATTCCATAGTGATTTTTTTTTTTTTTTTTTTTTTTTTTTTTTTTTCGTATAATCGAAAGAGATATTTATTCATCAAAATTAACTTTTTCTCAATTTTGTCAAAAGAGGTAACTTTATTTTTTGGTAATTTTTTATGAGTACTGTCAAAAGAAATAATTTATTCGATAAAAATAACCTTTTTTTTTTTTTTTTTTTGTCTTATCAAAAGAGATAATTTATTAAATAGAGATAATTTTTTTTAATCATCTTCCTTTTGTACTTTTTATTATTATTATTTTTTTAGGATCTTGACAATAGAGATAATTTTTTCAATAAATATATTTTTTGGGGTTTTTTTTTTCTTCATGTCAAAAGAGATAATTTTTTAAATGGTTACTTTTTATTTTTTTATCGGGCCAAAAGAGGCAATTTATTCAACATAACAAAATTTTATTTTTTTTGGGTCCTTTACAAAAAAATTATTCAAATTTATTTGTGTTGTCAAAAGATAGTTAAAATTCTAAATATTAGAGATAAGAAGATAAAATATGAAAGGGCAATTGTGTCATTTAAAAAGTAGTCATTATTTACTTGTAAAGGTTAGGTTAGAATGGAGTGTGGATATCGTCTCCCATAAAAATTACATTTTTCTTATAGAATGTGTTTAATAATGATTCTAAACATGTTTGTAAAATTTGTTATAAATTTTTTAAAGTAAATACTAAACATATTTAATAAAACAAATATTGCAAGTTTGTAAAATAAAATGGTTAGTTTAAAAAATTTAAGAGTTTTTTTTTTTTTTTTGTTTTGTTTTGTTTTTTTGGTTATTGTTTATAGCTACAGTACTATTGTTATAGTGCAGAAACAACAAATCAATTTCGTGTCTTTAGTTTTGGCATTTTTTTCATAAACACACGTGCTATTCAAATCATAACATTATCAAACACGTTTCAATGTTTTGCTTCGCTACAATATACCATCTGTAACAATAAAAAACACGAAACAAAAATAATTGCCAAACACAATCTTATTTTCTTATTTATTTTTGTTTGTGATCTAATAATTAATATTATGTCATATAAAATAGAAGGGAAAGATTCATTCACATATGTAAAGACCTAGATAAGTGTTGTTGAAATCATAATCATATTCTTTAAAAAAAAATCATATTTGCCACCTTACTAGGAAAAAAAAAAAAAAAGCCTAGCACAATGATAGTGTTGCATGTATCCATTTTGAATTAAAAATGTGTAATGAAAAAAAAAAAAAACTTAATAAAGAAATTCTAAATTTATATGAATTTGCTGGTGCACTGTACATAGGCATGGTTCTCGTGGAAAACAACGCATGTCAAATTTCACTTTTCAGCACTAATCTTTTCCTTTCTAATATTGTTCTCCTCCACATGTACACTTTTTATCTCTAATCTTTTCCTTTATAATATTTTTTATATATTTATTTCTAATCTTCTCCTTTATACTATTATATATATATATATAGTACACTTCCTATATATTTATTGTGCAAGAATCTTACTGTACGAATTCCTCTTTTTTATTATATATATATTTTTTGTTTAAATGAGATGAGTGTCATTATGTGCTTCTATCATCCGACAAGACAAAGTTGGTATGCCACGAGTAATAATTGCCGAGTGCTGTAAACACAAACCATATAATGAATGGATGATTCGTGTGGAGTTCGGGTTACGGTATTTCCGAATGGTAAAAAGTCAGATCTTGAGTGTTCTCATAATTTAAAAAAAAAAAAATTTACCCTTTTTTATATATTTTATAATGAGAGTAATGATTATTCATTTTGAACTCCATATTTTCCTCTTTCAATATAAGAAAATTTTCGCAACTCAACAGACAATTTCTAAACTTTTTAAACTTTGAGTGAATCACGTAAATATATTTATATATATATATATATATATATATTTTTTTTTTTTTGTTAGTTTTCAAAATAAGGTACATAGCACAGACAACTAGCAGAAAGATTTACATATATATATATATTGTACTGGTCGATCTGTGTGGATCCAAAGCATTAATGGATGAATGAAAAATTATATACATAGAATAAATATGTTTGAGCTGCGTGTACATGTGCTTCAAATAAGTTTTGAATAGCCAAAAAGTTATCTTCCTTCAATTAGAAAAAGCGAACATGCATGAAACCATGAACATTGGGAAGAGTTTTTATTTATATATTTTGATGCATGAGAATCTTACCGTACGAATTAATTACTCTTTTATATTATTATTATTATTATTTTTGTTTAAATAAGATGAGTGTCATTGTGTGCTCGTCTTATTGTGCGCTTCTGTCATCCAACAAGACAAAGTTTTTATGCGACATGTGACAATTGGCGTGTCCTGTAAAACACAAATCATTGCCTATGACAATCTTTGCCCATTAAATTTGTTGAATCTACAATGCCATCATTCTCATTGGATGAAACATACAAAATAAGAGAGGGTTAATTAGTAATTTTATTTTTCTTTCTTAATCTGTGGCTGAGAATTCGAGTCACAGTGACATATAATGTGTGTATGATTCATGTGGAGTTAGGGGTGGTAATGTTTTTCGAATGCTAAAAAGTCCGGCTTTAAGGGTCTTCATGATTAAAAAATATATATATCTCTTTTCTTTTCTTTTGTATTTTTTTTTTTAATTTTTTATGAGAGCAATGGTGATTCATTTTGAACTCTATATTTTGCTTTTTCATTATAGTAAAATTCTCGTAACTCAGCAGACGGTTTCTAGACTTTGAGTGAATCACGTAAATATATATATATATATACTTGTTAATTTTTTTTTTTTTTAAAAAAAAAACACCCTTCAAGTTTGATTTTATAACATAGTTACGTAGCACAGACATGTACTATATATATATATATATATACTGGTCGATCTGTGTGGATCCAAAGCATTAATGGATGAATGAGCTGCACGTACATGTGCTTCAATCTTCATTGGATTAGAAAAAGCGAACATGACACATGAAATAATCTACCTCCCACTTGCTGCTTAAAACAAACGAGGAAGAGTGTTTTTTTTTATATATTTTGATGCATGAGAATTCTATAAAAGACAAGTTGCATTGGAACATATGCATATATAAAAATAAAATGCATCACAATAAATCCAAAAAGTGTTAGACCTTAACTAAACATCCACAATTTTGGTTTTTAAACTATATTATCAAACCCAACTTGTCTATCACTCTCTCTTAATTAAACTGATTATATATATACAATAACTTCGTTAATTTTACAAATAATATATAGGACGGGACTGTGGTTGTCAGATGCTTCCTTTGAAATTGCATTGGATGTGTTATAGGTGTCAAAATATATTATATATATATTATGTACACACAAATACATACATAAAATAAGAGTCAGTCATCACTCTACTTGTGATTACAAAAAACACTCTTATATAGTACAATATTGGTCAATTTAACTTTTCCGAGAGAGACAGATATATATATATATATTTGAAGGGACTAGTGGCCTACAAGTTTTCATATAGACGCCACATTGAATGCTCAAATAAAGGTAGATGTGGCCAGGTGTGACGACGATGATCTCACATTGGATAAACATGAGGAGGGCCTTGGACTTGAAAGGCCTGTCGATACTTTCATGCTACTTGAGCGACAGGATTTAAAATGGTTACTATATTTGATGTTGAAGTGATCGTGATGACTATATTGAGTGTTTGGACTGCCACAAGACAAAACGGATCTGATAATAAATTTTTTTATCAAAGGCAAGTTGGTCTTTTTACCCGGAAGAAAATTTCTCGATTGAAATTGGTCTAACGAACGGTACTCATAATTTTGATGTGACATAATCTATTTTTCAGTCAAATTCTATCATTTAAGGCATCAAAACAGAGTCCAAACTTATTCATTATTTTAGAGTTTTTGTTCGTGATCTAAACATACTCAAAATGTTCTCAATTTTTATATCTAGTAATTTTTATTGATTTTGTTTCTTATTTTATTATTTATAGGCTTATTTTTTAGTATTAGTTTTTTTATGATTTAGGTTTTATTTATTTATTATTATTATAAATACATATAATGCAGCAGCATATATTATAATTAGTTTGTTTGCATTTGTGTGCTTCTCTTAAAAATGTGGGAGAAAAGAAATACTAGTACTTCATAATTAAAATAAATAAATACTGTAAAAAATGACCAATTAACTGTACTGATATGAAACTGCTATTCGCGATCCAATATTATCTTGCTCTAACTCCATTTATTTTTGAAATAAAATGACAGTATAGCCCTCTTCCTTGTTTCTACAGCTATGAACTTTCTTTTATCATTTTTTGTATTTTTATTTTTTTCATCTGTTCCATTCACTTTCACACCATGCATACAAATTTATTGAAAGCATTATCAAGAACCCATTACATTGAACTTCAAAAATAAAGCAAATTAACTAAACAGTTCAAAAATAGCACTTAAAGAATCTCCCTAATCATGTATATTAGATTCTCTCAATCTCTCGTTACTTTTACTTTTCGGCCGAGAAAAAGTAACTACGACAAAAGAAAATTTGATTATTTTACTATGCTGTGTTCTTGACAGAAGTTGAATAATTGGGGAAATATTCTGTTAACAAAAGTAAACATAAAATAATTGGGGAATATTCTGTTAACAAAAGTAAAAATAAAATAATTGGGGAAATATTCTGTTAACAAAAGTAGACATAAAATAATTGGGGAATTATTGATTATTGATTCATGTACATTAGTTGTAGACTAGAACTTCTAGTAATGTCACACTCACACATAACATATGGTATCGATGGGCATGAATCTCCGATATATATTCCATGATTGAATTAATCAAGAATTGTGACGTATGGTGGTTCCCTTGAGAGTGCTTGGGAACTTTTGTCAAAGATTTGCTTCTCTCTCCAAACACTCCCAACGATTCCACTATTTCCCTCTCATTGCACTTTTCTTTCTCTACACACGTTGGAAAGTTATTTGTCCGGCATCGAATTCAGATAAAAAAATAATGAGGTATAAATGAATGAGTATGCAGCATTATCTAATAGTTTGAGTTTTTAAGTAAATGGATAAGTGCTCACCATTTATCATTAGTATTATAGTCAGACCCAGTTCTTAATCCGGTGTCACGCTAAGCGTCCGATCCGAAGGGCGTCCGAGTAAGCAGAGTGGCTCGAGCCACAACGAGACATGCGAGTTTGAATGGGCGAGAATGTAATAAGAGTCATTTATCTCACATTTGATCCGAATGGACCCATTGGTAACTCACAATTTTTACCCCGAAGTTATGGCTCTCAAAAAATTGTTTACATTCAATGAAAGACAAACCTTGTGCTTGATGTTTTATGAAGTACCACGACAAATGACCTTATCAATTGAGCCAACATCTTGGAATTTATCTAAATATTAGATTATTAGAAAGATTCTTCTAGGGTAGATTCAATTGAAATCAAAATCCTTCACATTATAGGTTTTTCAAAGGGCATCCAGAATTTTCACCACCTTTATCTAAAAAAATTATTGCTAAATGATAAATAGTACTATTGTAACTGTAAATTTCACCAATTAAAGTTTATTTATAAATTTTGTCACTATAATTAAAATTTCACCAATTAAAGTGCTAAAAAAAAAAAAGTTTGTATCGTTATGGAAGGTTTGTAGCATTTTAAAATATTTCATTCATTTTACCACATGGTTATGTGAAAGGGAACGAAAACAAAAAAAAACATAATTAAATGATGACATAGAGGAGTGACAAGACCAAATAAAAAAGTTTAAAGTACATGGAAATTGAAGTACAATGCATGCACAAGCCAATGAATCGCACATATAGAAATAGAGGAGTTACAATTGACGAAGACCAAATCAATAAAAAATTTGAAAGTATGTGCAGTGAGGTCAAATACATGCACGCAACCATGCAACGAATCTCTCTAAAATTAGGTCATGTTTGTCTCCACTAGCTTCTTGGAAATTCTGGAATGCTGATTTTCATTACCGTGTCCTTGAAATTGGCTTCACGTGACCACAACGAAATCCCAACTCCACCAAAGTCAATCATGAGATTCATGACCAATGTGTACGACATTTAGTTCAAACAAAAGGCTGTCACACCCAACAAATTCCTAATTAATGGAATATATATATATGAATTGGAGTATTTTATATATATATATATATAATACTCCAACTACCTACCATGTAATATCCCAACTGATCTTATCTTTTGATAATAAGAAACAAATAATTTATCATTGGTCAGAGTATCATGGGCTTGATTTACAATTTTGAAAATAATTCTCAATAACTGAAAAACAAAAAATTATTTTAGAAAGTATTCAAATCGAAAATAATTTTTTTTTTTAAAAAAACAGAACCATAAAGGTTTTTTATACAGTTTTCTATTATTGGTTCTCTAAAATCAGAAAAGTGTTTTTGTGGGTTGTAAATCAAGTATGCCCGGTAATTTTTGTACCTCAATACTAAAATACGAAATCTTTTTCACACCGAGAGGTATTTACCATTTAGTATCTCTATTAATGAAGACTCCACATATAACAATTCATGTATCCATATTCTACAAACTCTTAAGTTGAGCTTATTAAAAGGGTAATTTTGTCATTGTATATATTACAAGAGCGCCATAAAATGACTAAGAAAGAGGACATAGAGACCGCTTAATTATGCAAAAAGGCCACAATATCATGCAAGTTGTGTCCCTTCAAGGTTCCAATCTCATTGAAGTAATATAGACACACACACATGCGCGCGTGTAGGGATGGAGAGAGTTAAGGGCCAAGGGGCACATGCCTCCTGAATTTCTCCCTCTAATATTTTATGTATATATATATATATATTTATAGAAATATAGAAAGTGCCCCCTATATTTTCGGCTTACAATAATCTTGAATAAAGAAACACATATCCACACGGATACAACTGGAACAAAGAAAGTTAAAGAAGGCATAGGAGCCACCTTTGGGCCAGGCTTAGTAATGGCAATTCGGATGGAGGAGACAACAAAATAGGCCCATATAATATTTGGACTTCCTGCAGCTACTAGAATAATCGAACGGGCCCACTGCACCATTTCCAGCATGGTCAACGCGTAAACGGGAACATATGAAAGCGGGTGCGAAAGTAACAAACCGGAGGCTAAAGAATTTTTCAAATAAAAAAAAATGCCGAGTAAAAGCTTGCTGAAAACACCCCAAACGTGAGAATTGTACTCGTTTAAAAAATATTGTAATAATCTAATATGTAGCTTAAACAAACAATCTTACGTAACTCTTAAACCAAGTCACACAGAGTGGAAGTATGAAAATAATAAAGTTAGAAAATCAAGTTAGAGTGAAAGTAAGATTAAAAATGCATCAGAACTTAAACACCTCAATTAAAAGAATTGCAAATAAGCCGTTGGCAATCGTTCTTCTCTCATTAATTTCCGAAAAGAAAAAAAATCGTTGGGCCTCCTTGCACTCGTGTAAGCCACGTGGGCACTTCTTTGACACGTTTTAATTTGAAGATATTTTTGAATTTTTTTTGGCCGAACATATTTGTTCTATTGGCTATTGCTATACAAAACGTCGTCGTCTCAAATTAGTCTATTCTTTTGCCCTTTTCCCTTCAAATTACCCGTCGTGTTTTGCGTTGTTGGCTTCGACAGATGTCTGCCATGGGTAACATCACAGTGAATTACACCCTCCCGTGTAAAACAATAAAAATAAAAATAAAAAATGACAAAAATAGAGGAACTTCCGTCAGAAAAAAGAAAATACACACATATATATACACACAGTTGTGTGTATCTATCTATATATACGGTTTCTTATTTCCCCCTTCATGTCTAATCACATTTTTTGATTCTGTAAAAAGATTTGTGTTGTTAGAGTTGAGCAGTGAAGCGAGTGAGCTGAGAGTAGTAATGACGATGGTTGTATCGGCGTTCAGAGGCGTAGCTCATGGTCGATTACCTCTAGTCCATCATCCTCGGGTATGCTTCCAATTTTGCCCCTCCTCCTTCCTCCCTTTTTTTTTTTTTCTTTTCCTGTAAATTCTTTCAGTCCCAGTCAATTTAACCTTCAATTCCTTTCTTAATTTCATGCGAAATACTATTTTCCCCTCTTCCAATCCATTTTTATTTTCTTGTAGTTTTAATTACTGTGTATGGTTCTGTTTCAAGAATATTATTTCCTTCTATATATATATATTGCTTGAATTCTGCTTTAATTGTATATATATAGCTCGAATTCTGCTTTAATGATGGGGCTTCTTTTTCTTTGAGTATCAATTCCTCTGGTTTAACAAGTATGCTTGTTGAAATCTATTGCTCGCACTACTCGATTTCGATATCAGTGCATGTACTCTGGTTTTATTATGTATTATTCGATTTCAGTTGTAAAAGCTTGTTCTATTTTTTACTACTGAAATGCCTTGTTGTTGATGGTGCGTATCAGTGCATTTGCATACTAGCCTTCTATATTTGATTTTAATTTTGTGTTCAATTTGTTCTGGTTGCACAACACACATGCATGCACATATATACGGCATCATGAAGGAATTAATTTGTGATTTCTGGTTACAGTGGCCTGCAACAAGTGGTAGTATATCAAGTAGACGGAGTAGGCTCAGCTGTCAATCCAATGGGTTGACTCTTTTTGCTCGATACTCGCAGGCTGAGGATCGTTTTACTTCTCGTCTTCAAGGTCTCAAAAATTGTATCTTTTTTGTTTGTTTGGGATGTTATTCTGAGCTTTATAGATGAACTTTTAGATATGGCAGGCATTGAGTAACTTAGTTTAGAATTTGTCCCAATAAAACAGTAAATATTAGATAAAAACATATGAGAAAGTTTAGTACAAGAAATTCATGTGTTTGTTAGTTTACCCCCTTTTTTTGTTTTTGTTTTTGTTTTATGTCTGTATTTACTCCTTTGGAAATATTGTAGGAAAACCCATACTATTTTTACTAATAAATAATCCTTGACCATTGCACGAATGCTGCTCAATCTGCATGTTGAAGCTTCTGAATATTATGTCTTCCTACAGACAGCATGGAAAACTTGCCCAAACTAGTCGAGGATATAGTCCAGACATCTATAAATACTGGTCCTCGTGGAGCCATTAGGCTAGCTCAAGGTATCCAAGCAGTTATTGGGGTAGGCAGTGAGTGGCTTGCAGATGTATCAAAGGTTAACTGCATTTCAGATTTTTATTTTATATTTTTTGATTGTGCGTTTTGAATTTTTGTTATTTTATGTTGTAAACATGTTCCTTTTCCATACGTATCTGTTGATTTTGTGAGCGTGTGAGTAGTAACGAATGCTTTTTATTGTTTCTTGTGAGCATTGTTGCATTATTTGGCAATTTTACCTTGTTATCATGGAAGCTCATTCCAGTTCTCAATTAACGGACCAAAACATCAAACTAGAGTTAGTTTTCTCTGGGTTCCAATGGTTGACTGAATTCGTGTGTACTCATAGAGTAATTGGAAAGGTCCTGTGCATTTATTCACTTTGTTAGGTGTTGTAATACATGGTAAACAATTGTTTTTGTCATAAATGGATTTGATCAAATTCTTTTTACATTGTTCTAATATAATATTATTTTGTAAATAAACCATGTGATTTACACAGATCTCTTAACTCCTTTCATTATTCTGTAGTCAACAAATTCATCCGCCGGATTACCATCTCAGATGCAGCTCGGATTACTTTCCCCCCTTTATCTTAGAAGATTGTTTGAACGCATGGGTGCAACCTACATCAAATTAGGTCAGGTAGGGAATTACTTTTCCTGGGTTTCTATTACAATTGCAAACCTCTGATAGCAAGCAAAAATGAATCCTTGATTGTTTAGGGCCCGTTTGGCAACCGCTTTTGTTTCATGTTTTTACTTTGACCCGAAGCAGAAGCCGTGTTTCTGCTCTAGAGTGTGTTCAACACTATTCCGAAACTTGTTTGGTATGGTAAATCTGTTGCAAGTTTTTTGGAAGCAAAAACATGAAAACATATTTGGTAAAAAGTGTTGCAAGTTTGAAAAGTTAAATGGTTAGTTACAAAATGTCATTTTAGAATTTTTTTTTTAACAGCGCTTTTGCTACTGTGCGGAAGCAACCAAAAACATCATTTTTATGCTTCCGATTTTGGCCTCCTTTTCGGGAGCGCTTCGGTACAATTCAAATGACAGCAAACGTTAGCACATATGCTTTGTGCTTTTGCTTCGTTACAGTACACTAGTAAAAGCAAAAAACACAAAGTAAAAACAATTGCCAAACGGGCCCTTCATGATCAGTTTTTAAGTTGTAAAATTTTGAGTTTTACTTCTACACTATAACATCATAATTTGGTAATCCATTTATTGAAATGGAGCTTTACTTGTTCGCATGGTTATCCAATAATTTTCTTCCTCTGCTGAACACATATCAGTTTCTTTTATATTTTGATATGCTGTGATTCTTTGCTGAGTTTTTAATTATTGATCCTGTTTATATGTAAATGCGCCACTAATAATTCTTCTTCTTCTTCTTCTTCTTCTTCTTCTTTTCCGGATAGTTCATAGCGTCAGCACCCACATTATTTCCATCAGAATATGTCCAGGAATTTCAGTACTGTTTTGACAGAGCTCCCACAGTTCCTTTTGAAGAGATTCAAAGAATCTTGCGTGAGGAATTAGGGGGACCAATAGATGCTGTGTTTGAGTATGTTGATCCAACACCAATTGCCTCAGCCTCAATAGCACAGGTTTGTGATGATATATATATTTTTTCCCCAGAAGCTTTTATGTTGATGGTTAAAGAGTGCAATCGTAAAATATGATTAATGAATAGAATCCTAAATTATGATCTCCAGGTTCATGGTGCAAAGCTCAGAGGCTCCCAAGAGGACGTAGTGATAAAGGTCTTGAAACCAGGAATAGAAGATATATTAGTGGCAGATCTGAATTTTGTGTACATTGTTGCACGCATTTTGGAGTTCTTAAATCCTGAACTGAACCGTGCATCTCTGGTATGATGTGGTAAATTTTTATCAAGCATGTGATAAATGATTCAAATACTTGTCTTATAGAAATCACGTACTCTTTTATTTTTTCAATTACATGGTCTTGTTACGCGTGTCAAGCGTGGGTATGTGCCTAGGCATCAGATTTATCAAATCCCCAAACCAGAGCATGCCGGGACACATTAAGTAAACATGTTATTTAATAATTTTCTTTTATTTTCTCGAGTACAATGATGGGTGGACCTTGGCGCAACAGTAAGGTTGCTCCATTGTGACTTGGCGGTCACGGTTTCAAAACGGGAAATAGCCTATTTGCATGCTAAGGTAAGGCTATGTGCATTTGACCCTCCACATATCCGGCGGGAGTCTCATGCACTGGCTAGCCCTTTTTTTTCTTGCGTAAAATAATATTTTTACTCATTTTGAAGTAAATGAAAATAATAAAAGACTCTCATTTATTATAATATAATAAATTTGAATTATTGGATATATTGTTAGGTGTATGTCTGACTATAAGTGTCTAAACACATCCCATACTCGTGGTCAAAAGTGCTACTTCATGCATTTTGCAGAGCATGTTACACAAGACGGAACTAGCTCACACGATGATCATGTACAAACAAGCAACAACTTTTTTATTATATATGTTTTTGTTCCGTAATAGCACTTCTTTGTACGCTTTAATTGATAACCAGTCAAAACAGAGTTTTTGAACATACTTGTCTTGGGTTTACTTCAATATATATGGAGAGAGTGGAATTTATTCTTACAAAGAAGTGATGGCCTGTTTGGTTTTTGCTCCTAATTCTGCTTCTACCTTCCCTTGTTATTTCATTTGATTGCAACAGATTGTGTAGATAAATGTCACCAGTCACACATACTCTATCATTAACTATTCTTTGCATTGTATTATGTTGATTACTTGAAGTTTTTTTCATAATGCGCACATTTCTTAAGTAGGTTGGTATTGTCAAAGACATAAGGGAGTCAATGCTTGAAGAAGTTGACTTTAATAAAGAGGCTGCAAATATTGAGTCTTTTAGGAGATATTTAGAGGCCATGGGCCTGACAAGGCAGGCTACAGCTCCAAAAGTGTACCGGCAGTGCAGCACCCAACGCGTTCTGACAATGGAGAGGCTTTATGGAGTTCCTCTTACTGACTTAGACTCTATTAACTCACTTGTTTCAAGTCCAGAGGCCAGTCTTATAACCGCCCTTAATGTGTGGTATGACTCAATCATCTGCACTCGTGCTTACAAGTTTGATTGATATTTCACTCATCCAACTTTTAGAATATTTTCTCTGTGAAATGCTTTGCAGGTTTGGCAGTTTGCTTGCTTGTGAAACCTTCCATGCAGATGTACATGCAGGCAATTTGTGGTTGCTTCGTGATGGGCGCATTGGGTTTCTCGATTTTGGTATCATTTATATTTTGCATCGATTCAAGTTAGTCAACTTATGGTTTAGTTAGTTACCAGTTTGATTTTGAGTTGCCACATTTTTCATCATCTATCATTAATTATGCATCAGCTATAATAACGACAATGTTAATGAGATTTATGCACATGTTTGTTTACTAAATATTCAATCATGACAGCTGTGCCACTTTTGGTGGTGATTAAATTTGCCTGCTAAGTTTTCCTACATATTGTGTGCAGCTGGTTTGTTGCATTGTTATGGACTTTGACTATGTTGTTTTTATCAATATGCATAAGAAGATATGTGCAGAGGTGCAGCCTTTACAATCAAAAAAGAAAGTACCATCTTCATGTCATTTCTATGTAGTGATGCTATATTGAGATGATATATGTTTTCACACACTAAGGCTATGTTTGGTACAATGGGAATGAAGAGAAAGGATAACATTAGTTATGAGGGAAAGGGAAGGGAAGGATAATTTTAACCCTCAATCGTGTTTGGTTGATTAATGAAGGAAAAGAAAGGGAAGGATAATAATCATGTTTGGGAAAAGAAGGGAAAAGAAAAGAAAGGAAACTATTTATATAAATTTACTATTATACCCTTTCATATTAAATTGATAAAAAATATATCTTTTAAGGGCAAATCATTTCAGCCTTATATATTGATAAAAAATATATATATTTTTAGGGCAATCATTTCAACCTCCACCTCCATCTGATAAAAAATATATATTTTTAGGGCAAATCATTTCAGCCTCCGCCTCCATCTGTATTCTTGTTCTCAACTCTACACTTGCCCTCTCTCTCTCTCTCTGCAACTGGAAACTACAAAATCTACAAAATCAAAACCCATATCAGCATATCATTTCAGATTGTTCAAAAAATCAAAACCCATATCTTTCGGTTTCCATCGCCCGCTGTTCCAGTTCGGGTTCGCCATTCGCAAGCTTCAGCCGCTGTCTCTCAACTCTCCAAGCTTGTCCCCCTCTCTCACTGCAACTTCTAACTTGTATGTATGGGTTTTGTTTTATTTGTTTTTCTAAATCAACTAATCAAGGTCTGTAATTCTTGTTTTGCAAACTAAATCCTAAAATCAAGTGTAATCTTGATTTTGTGTAAGGGTAACTTTGGCATCAGAGCTAATACATCAACCCTAGCCTTCCCTTTCCTTTCATTTCCTCCCATTTTTGAGAGGTTAAGAAAATTACTATTCATGCCTTGAGTTATCCTTCCAAAACCATCCATCACCTTCCCTTTCCTTCCCACCATTTATGCCAAACACACCCTTTTAATCACCCTCCATCACCTTCCCTTTCCTTTCCTCCCTTTTCCATTGCACCAAACTGACCCTAGGAGTTCTCTACAATTTTGTCTAAAAGGAATTAATATAAAATGGACTTGCTGCATTTTCTATAAAATCCCAATGTCAATGTACAACATTTTTCACACCGACATTGTTGCACAATTATTGTGATTTGAGCAGAAAATTCAAACATTGTGGTATATTAAAGAATTGATTTATTAAATATGAGATTTTCTTTTTATAGTTAAAAATACTTGGATATCCATGTGATAGCAAGTGCTTTATGGAAATTAGTCAAGTACTCAAGTTAAATTTTTGCACCAAAGGAAATAGAATAGGGGCCATGCATTAATGCGGTAAAAATAAAGGAAATAATATAACTTGTTATTTAAGGTTTATACCTTGCAACTCAACAATTTACAGGAGAGACTTGACTTGTGTTGTAGCAATACTCAGAATTACTACCTCAGTTCAACAAATCTTTCTCCGAACTATTAGACTTGGCTATGTGTATTTTATTTTGTCAAGTTGCTCTGTCAATAACTTTAGCTAAACTACATACTATCATATCTTTCAAATGCTACTTCCACTATCTCATTACATTTCATTTTTAAATTTTTTCTCGTTTTAACAGTCTTTCATTTTACTATTTGCATTTATTCTCATTTTATGAACACGTAATTTTTAAGACATCCGAGATTCTGTCCCGTGTTCATGAAATTAGAACCTTTACAAAAATTTCCTTTCACTTAAGTAATATATTGAGATTGATGTTCATAAGAGGTCCTGACGATGGGCTATCAGTTATCCAACGCAATCCTCCTCTTTTTCTATTGACTTGAGACCTGCTGAGGACATGACAAAATGTGGTTTGACTGAGGTTATGACTTAGAGTGGAATATAAAAATAGGATTCATATAGCCAATCTCAAGTAGTTGGGTTTAGTAGTATACTAAATATTATCAAGATTATGTTCATAAGGGTCCTATGAATTGCCCTACGCAATCCCCGTCCTTTTCTCGAACTTCAGCCTGAGACATTATGACAAGTTGTTTAACTGAAGTTACGGCCTTAGATGGAGAGCAATGGAAAAATAAGATTCACGTAGCCTGTTAAAAATAAGACACTAATCACAACACAGTCAAAGTTGCTTACTGGGAAAAAGAAAAGAGTGGATTGGAATGCTTGCTATTTGTGACTATGCTTGGAAATTTCTATTTATTTTCCTCACTTTGAATAATTGTGATTACTCTGTATAGTTTGCCCGGTTTAAAAGTGCTTTATAGAGGAAATTTTCAAGCAATTATAATGTAAAAGGTACCTTCAAAAATGCTTGAGAAATAAAAGAGTGTAAAAATTTTGGTTCTGAAGGAGGCCCGAGCCTGTTGTCATCTTTTGCGTTTAGTTTAGTTTGCCTAACTGCGACTAAGTTGTCTTATGGTATTGCAATAAATTGCTTGATTACTCAGTTATTGATTGATGTCAAAGATTTGTTTCGTGGGAATGCCTACCACTACCTAGGTCTTTTGACTTAATGGAATTATAAGGTGCAATTACTGCCATCATCGTACAGAATTCCTGCATGCATATAATTTGGTATGTAAACTAAATATGAATTGGAATTGCAGGAATTGTTGGACGCATTTCCCCAACAACATGGGCAGCTATGGAAGTATTTTTGGCATCAATTGCAACTGAAGAATACGAGTCAATGGCATCTTCCTTGATTGAAATGGGTGCCACAAACAAGAATGTGGATACTAAGGCCTTTGCAAGGGATTTGGAAAAAATATTTTCATCAATACAGGTAAGCAATAGAATTTATCATAGCAGGATTTGGTGACTATTGAAAATTTAATTAGTATTCTCTTCTTCCATGCTGCCTTGAGCATGTTTGGTGAACTAGACTGAGAAGATTCTCTGGTGTAAGAACTATTCTTTGATTATAGAGAACTCCTGAAATTAACTATTATCCAGTCAATTGTTACTCGGAAGTTCTCAGAGTACTAGTTTTCAAATAACATTTTGAGATGGTTTTAAGCCCTTCATGATGGACCATGCAACCAGACCAAATATCGAGTTTGTGGGTAATTGTCTTGTTAGACTGAAATTGAAGTTGTAGAAGTATTAGGTATGGATCTTGTTTAGAAGAAGGGAATCGTTTTAAGCTCGTTTATTTTCTCAGAGAAATAAACACACTTTCTTCATAAGAAAGAAAGTGAACCGATAGGAGGATATCATTAGCCGCAGATAAATGGTATTGCTGTTTCATGAACTCGGTTACATGTATTAGCTATCAGTATGTGTCTAAGTGTTGGTTTTCCCTGAATCCCAAATCTCTAGGATATGAAGGTTCGGCTTGAAATGTGTCCACAACTTGGATATGGGTATGTATGTGGAACGTCTCACACACTAAAACACCTAATATGCTATATAGAAGTAATGTATGGTGGTGCTACTATTATTTGAAAATATGCTTAATAATAATTGAAAGAAAAATGGAATTTGGTATAAGAAAGTAAATAAATAAATAAAAATAATAAAAAGAGAAGAAAGGAGGAGGAGGAGGAGGAGGAGGAGGAGGAGGGGGCATTTTATCTATTTCAGAATTAGGGAATCCTCCTTTGCTAGTTGGATTTCACATTTGAGGTTTTTATCTTCTTCCATCATCACAATTAAAGGATCTAGGTGTCTGATCTGGTTACGTGCGATATACACATATCTCATACCCATACCCATACCTATCGGCTTATTGTGTCGACCCTGAGTTTGTGAGCTAACATCTGATTGACTCGGTACAACATTTTCTGAATCAATGGTTTTTCTTACTTTGATGCAGGATTTGGATACAGAAATTGTTGTTGCAACAGCCAGGGAAGCAAGTACAAATGCCACCAGAGTCTCTGCTAATGTAGTTGTTGATGAAAGGCAGATGAATGCACTGTTTCTTGATGTGGTAAGTTGTTCCATTCTTGAGCATTCAAGTGCGAGTGCAGTCATTTACGTATGTGAGGCCATCATAGGGTCTAAGATCAATTGTCAGTCAATAAATAGTAAACGAACTTTAGTGATAGGCGCATTATTAGTTGCTAATGGAGCAGACCAAACACTGTTTGCCTTTCCTGGCCTTCTTAATGAAAAAAGGAATTTTGGTAGACAAATTTTAGGTGATATCAGTGATGCCTTCAAGTTTGTTAGCCGCTTCTAGATCTGCATCCGTGGAGTCTGACAGTATTTTATGCACAGGCAATCAAGAAATCATTTGTGCGATATTATTTATTATTAACCTTCGTGTTCATATATATTTTGATTGTTCATGACTAATGAGTAATCCGAGGTCAGTAAATTAGATGCAAGAGATGGAGATGATTAGTAGGTAACAGTAAACTAACTGTTATAATTTCTCTTCTCTCTTCCTATTGTAAGGCTAGTTTCTGATGTTATGCTCTCTTTATGTTCCATAGGTTCGAGTTAGTGAATCATATGGCCTGAGATTTCCTCGAGAGTTTGCGCTTCTCATGAAACAGCTTCTGTATTTTGATCGGTACACACGCTTGCTAGCTCCCAACATGAACATGCTTCAGGACCAGAGGATTACCATTGTCTCAAACCGAAGAAGCGGCAGTGGGAGAAACATTTACCAATGATTGTGGCTATCAATGAAAGTAGCAGAATTGTAATTTTCTGATGCTATTTTTTTTTTTAATCATCTTTTATGTGTAAATATTACAGATAGAGATTACACTCTGTAGAAACTCATTGCAACAGCACAAAATAAATGTTCTCGATATAAATATACTCCGTATATGCCATTCTAGAAATTGGTTGTTTGATGATTTCTTTCCTCCGATTAAACAGACCCTCCTCGTCAGAACATGAATCAACCCGGTATACAGACAAGGCTGCATTGCAGGAATAAATGACACCATCAATGAACTCAGCCTTTCCAGAGAAGGGATAGTATACATCTTTTGACAAGATCAACTTTTCCCAGTTGCAGTTTGAATTAGAGAAATTCAAGTAGAAAAATTCATTACGGGAAATTATACCATTGAAATCTACAACCGAAAGGAGCAGAAAATTGTTTATAACAGCATAACCTTCAACGCTGGTACATTTAGGCAAATCAAACTGAGGTGGTAATTGTGATTCCCATTCCGGGTCTCCACAGCTAAAGCTCTCTAGTGTGGGCAATGGGACATTCAATGAAGTTCCCACGGATTGGCCATAAACATAAAGTTGAGTTCCAACAGCCATAACTAGGGGGGCATGGGTTTGGGTGCAACAAGTCGATCAGAATTTGTGTTTGGCAACTCAAATCCAATTTGGAAACCTATATGCGTGTGTGAGTGTTTGTATATATAAAAAGGATAATACTGAGGAGATGGTAATAAAAGGGAAGAGATAATTCAGATAAGGAAAGGTTAAAGGAAATTTTGTTTTAAAATTTTATATCTTTAATTTTCATAAAGATTGAGGACACATAAATGTATAATTATAAAAATCGTAACTAATAAGGAGAGTAATTGTGGAAAGAAGCCTTATATTCTTACGATTTTTTAAAATTAAAAAATTAATTTAAAAGGCAAAAATCACATTGATGAAAAGAAAAATTTTGAGATTATTTCTCGCTAAAATTGAACAATTATATTTTAAATTCCTATTACACTCATGCTTATCAGTTGGTTTAGTTTTTTCTTTTTTTCCTTTTTCCTTTTTCCTTTTTCCTTTTTCTCACATAAGTATACTTATTAGTTAATTTCTCTATCTTTTTCTCCTTTTTTACTACGTACTCATGAAGCTGGTGAGGTCATTTTTGTTAGCATTTTATTTTATTTTATTTTATTTATTTATTTATTTTTCTTCCAAATACTTATATACATGTAATATATGGTGCATATTATATAATACATTCAAATATGTCAACTAGGTCTTAGAATCTGGATACGAGGGTTATTACAAAATATTTCATACTTATACTTATAGTTGAATTAAAAAAGAAAATCCCTTTTAAACTTGGTTGTCATATGTGAAATATTATTTTGTAATTAACAATTATCAGAAACAAAACAATTCCGACTGCGGAATGAAAAGTTGTTCAAAGTTACCATAATTGAGATCATTAGAAATAAGGTAAGAACAACGCATTAGGAAGGATTCTAAACAGGGTAGGTCACATTCTACACTTTCCATATTTTTCAGAACTTATCGTAGGATGTTTTTAGGCTGAATGAACCAAAGATTTCAAGTATGCCAAACTTGAACAGGTTCAGCCCGTCTGAACCGGTTCAAGGTGCTCAAGATTGGCTTCGAAAAACTTTTGCCAATCTGGAACTAGTTCAGCCCCTCTGAACTAGTTCAAGTAGTCCTAATCAGTTTCTAACTTTCAATTTCCTATTTCAAAATTGTTTCCTAATTAGTCTAGAATTGTACCAAGTCCTATGTACGAATTTTTCCATATTTTCAGAGGGATTAGGACATTCTAAACTCTATATAAACCTTGTCATACACATAGATTTATTCACGTCTTTTACATTATCAATTTATTATTCTTAAAAGACTTAGAAAGATTTTTGTCTCAGAAAATCTTAAACTGTTTGTCTTTCTAGAACACACACATATTCACATAGTGATTTTAGTATCGTGTTGTTCGAATCCTGATCGTGATCATACAGTTGTGTCTACATCGATCAGACAAAAGCAGATCTACTTCTACATTGCATTCAGAAGTTCAAGAACAGAAGTGAAAGCGATCACACTTTGAAAGGGTTGGAGCATTCAAGGAGTGTTGTCTGATCTACCTGCTACTCTTCTACAAAGATCAAGTATAAGCCTAAGGTCAAGTTGTTGTCAGGGAGTTGCAAAGCCAGAGGATTGTCAGCAATTGGTGTCATTTATGTGAATGCTATTCCGATCTAAGTGGTCTTATTCTGTGTCCTGTGCTAGGAAGCATGACTCCTTTTTTCATTCCAAATTCAAGAATACGACCGATAGAATGATAGGGTGTGAGCCAGAATCAAAGTTCAGTTTACTTTGTTTCAAGCATAGTGGATCGGTTTACTTTGGACTGCACAGTCCACGAGGTGTTTTCCATGCAAACAGTTGATGTATTTTATCAACTGGAGTTTCCTCATTAAAAATCATGGTGTCATCTCTAACTTTTACTTTGCTTTATTTTATATTGCATAATATTAATTTATTAATTGCTAAAATAAAAAAGTTAGAAAAACACAAGATCTGTTTTTAAAATTTCAAAACTTTCTAAATATTCCGCTACGTACAACTTACACATTGGTATCAGAGCCAATATCTACAAATTAAGTTGATCCTTGTAGGAAAGTTTTGATTGATTTCAAAAATTTGTTTTAATCATGTCTTATGCATTGAAAAAAGGTGGTTCTAACCAACGTGGTCCTTTATTTGAAGGAGATAATTATAATTTTTGGAAATCAAAGATGAGAGCCTATTTGCAAAATTCAGGTAGTAAAACTTTGGTTATTGTTGAATCTGGCTATTCACCACCTACAGAAGATAAAACTGTGGATGGTAAAGAAGTCAAGGTCTTAAAAGATGTTTTTGCTTTTACTGCTATTGAAACTGAGCGTAATGATGCTAATGGAAAAGCTTTATATGCAATTATTAATTCTGTTGTTCCATCTGAATATGATAGAATTTCTGATTGTAAAACTGCTAAAGAAGTTTGGGATATTTTGCAGGTTACTCATGAAGGAGCTTCAAAAGTGAAGTTATTCAAAATTCAGATACTTTCTCATAACTTTGGAAACATCGTGATGAAAAAAGATGAATCTTTTTCTTATTTTTATTCTAGTCTTTTTGAAATAATTTCTAAATTGCGTCACTTGGGAAAAAGGGTTAGTGATAAGAAAATCTGTGAGAAAATCTTAAGGTCGTTACCTAAAGATTTCAGATTAGGGTTGAAATCATCACTGAATATTGGGATTTAACATCCTGTAAAGTTGACGAGGTTGTAGGTTTATTGAAAACCTTTGAGATGTAGAATTTTGATTTAAATCAGAAAGAGAAAAATCTTGCTTTAAAATTTACACAGGTTGAGAATTCTATGGATGATAACTCTGATGATGATTTTGCTTTTCTGTCAAAGCAATTTAATCAGATATTCCCAAGACAACAGAGGAGAAGGAATGACAATATGGCTAATCCTCAAAATTTTGATAAGACGTCAAAATTTAGGTTTAATGAAAAGAAAGTAGAAGAATCAAAAGAAACTGAATTCACATGCTGGAATTATAGTGGCAAAGGTCAAGCGTCCAATGTTTATCCTAGTCCTAAGAAAGAACAAAAGATAGGAATAAAGGAAAAGTAATGAAAGTTTCTATATTTGAAAATTCTACTTTAAGTGATAATGATTCTCCTCATGATAATACTAAGGATTTTTTTTATGTCACTTTTCTTGAAAGAGGTCCTCATGTTGTTACTTTATCTGACTCTGATATTTTAGATAGTGAAGACAATGAAGTTCATGATGAACAAGTGCAAGAGGCTGAAAAGGAAGATGAAAGATTGAAGAAGATGGTCAAAGAAACCATGGAAGTCAAACATGTAATCAATAAGCTAGCAAAGGAGCTTATCCAAGCAAAAAGAGAGAATAAAAATCTAAGGAAACAGATTGATGAAGGAAAAGGAAAGCTTTTGAAAATGATTCTATCATCACTGAGCAAGATAAGAAGATCATCATTCTTGAGGATATGGTAAGTATTGCTGAATCATTGAAGGAATGTCTTGCTTGGTTATCTTGAAATTGAATTGAAATCTGCACAAGATAAACTGAAAGGATTCAATATGAGTCAAAATAGTTTGAAAAAGATAATCAACATGGGAAATGATGTGAATGATAAAATTGGTTTATGATTTGTTAAAGGTTCTTTTAGTGGTTAAGGTAAAACAATTTTTGTTAAACCTGTTGATATGTCTAAACCATGTTTGCCTGATTCATTGCATTCTAATATGTCTTATATACCTAAACTATTGCATTGCACTTTCTATTGTAAAACTGGACATAAGCATCACTCATGTTTTTAAAGGAAAAAGAAAAAGTCTTCGAAAATTCATTCTCAGAATGTTCAAGCTAAGAAAAAGGTGTTTTCTAAAAATAAAAAGAATTTTGTGACACCTATGTTTTTTAAAGATGAAAATTTACCTAAGAAAGATGTAAAGAATGAAAGAGAATTTCAGGAAATGAGAGTAAAGACAGTGTGGATCAAAAAGACTGATTTGATCAATTTTGTGCCTGTTGAGTCCATGGAACTAGGTTCCAAAAGGACTTCACCTTTAAACTGATTCCTAAAACAGTTAGTGATCATGGCTTGTGTTTAAAATGAATATGTTGTTGCCATTGGATCACTTGTTAGGGTTTGGTTTAAGTTTTGAGTTTCTAATCATATTTTTCTTGATATACATATGAAAATTCTTTTAAGGAATATATGATTTATCTTTGAATGTAAATTGAGACACATGATAATTTAGATAAAAATAGATTCTTGATCTGTAATTTATGCAATGAAAGATGATTTGCATTGATTAAGGGATTTTTTGATATAAATCTCTTAAGTTCATAGATTTTTGTGCACTAGCCCATTTCAGAAAAATTTGGTTGAAAATCTTTTGATCTGTTGACTGGGGTTTATTGTTCACAAAAACTATAAAGGTTATTGTTTGGAAAAAATAGGAGCTTAAATAAAAAAAAAAATGAAAAAAAAAAAATTCATCTTGAAAACGAAAGAAAATTTTGAGTTGTTGAATACTTTGCTAAGGAGAAAACTGCCTATTGAGATTTGATCGA